GGCACGTCCCACCATGACTAGCTAATTTTTTGTAGTTTTAGTAGAGATGGAGTTTCGCCATTTTGGCCAGGCTGGTCTCGAACTCTTGACCTCAACACATCTAGATGTGTATAAGAGACAGGATCTCAACATAATTAGTCACTGGGAAAATGCAAATTAAAACCTGAATGAAGTATCACTACCGCCAGGATGGTTTAAAATATAAAGAATGAAAACACTAAATGTCAGCAAGGATGTGGAGCAACTGGAACTCCTATACATTGTTGATATGAATATAAAATGGCACATCAACTTTAGAAAAAGAAATAGCATTTTCTTCAAAAACTAGATATATACTAGCTGTGATCCTGCAATTACATAAGTAGGTCTTTTCCTAAGGGAAATGAAAACATATGTTCATCAAAATACTTGTATAAGAGTGTTCATAGCAGCTCTATTAGTAATAGTCAGAAACTGGATACAGCCCAGGTATCCATCAAGAAGAGAATGAATGCGCAGGGGCCCAGCACGGTGGCTCACCCCTGTAATCCCAACACTTTGGGAGGCCAATGCAGGCAGATCACTTGGATCACTTGAAGTCAGGAGTTCAAGACCAGCCTGGCCAACCAGGTGAAAACCCTGTCTCTACTAAAAATGCAAAAAATAACCAAGTGTGTTGGTGGGTGCCCGTAATCCCAGCTACTCAAGAGGCTGAGGCAAGAGAATCGCTTGAACCCACTTGCAGTGAACTGAGATCACACCATTGCACTCCAGCCTGGGCAACAGAGTGAAGCTCCATCTAAAACAAAACAAAACAAAACAAAACAAAAAACAAGAAGGAGAGAGAGAATAAATGTGCAAACTGTGGTTTAGTCATACAATGGAATACTACTCAGCAATACAAAAGAATGGGCTACCACTGTTCACACAATAACATGAACAAATCTCAAAAAATTATGCTGAGTGAAAGAAGTCTCACACAAAGAATTCAACCTATTTGACCCTTTCACATGAAATTATAGAATAGACAAAGCTAATCTGTGGTGAAAAAAATCAAAACAGTGGTTGCCTCTGGGTTTGGGAAAGGGATTAGGAACAAGGATTGACAGGAAAGATAAATGAGGGATCTTCCCAGGTGAAGAC